CCGTCATGGCGTATACGAACCTCACGATCGGGCTCTCATTCATCCTCCTATTCGCTGGCCTATTAACCGAGAGCTTACCCGCGATGGTGGTGGCTACATGCATATGCTCTTTTAGCAATGGCACAGGAGTAACGACGACACTCATCGGCCTCATCGCGAATGCCTCCCACACCGACCAAGCCGTTGCCACCGCTTGTTCCTACCTTTTCCGCTCTCTCGGGTCAGTCTTCGGTGTTTCCATGTGCGCTACGGCGTTTAATCAGACACTCCGCAAAGCTCTCCAGGAAAAGCTGCAGGGTGACGATGCGGCTGAGATTGCGGAGCGTGTCAGGGCTGGATTGGCTTACTACAGGGGTCTGGATCCGGCACTCAAGAGCATCGTCCGGGAGTGTTACGGAAGGGCGACTAGGGCCGCATTGTGTGTAGGCATTGTGCTTGTTGCAGGGAGCGCCATCTTTGCGTGGTTTATCAAAGAGAAGAGCCTCGAAGATAGCAAGAGCAGGAGTGTTGAGCCGGAGGAACCTGCAGAGTGAGGCAAGGTTCTGGGAGTCGGAGGCTTCCGAGAGCGTCACTGGGATGGCAACAATCTGTCTCTGCTCGTCTTCGGGGGAGCTAGACGATGCAACTAAACGCAAATCTATACCGTCCCTGGCAGATTTTGAGGTGGTAGAAGAGGCATGTGGTACATTCTCGGTGTCTTTGAAGGTGTCGGGATCTGGCTGTCCTAGACTCACCGCTCGTGCTGGGCAAGCATGACTATGTATCGCAGTAGTGTGTCCATTACACGACAGTGTCTTAGAAATCAACAGACGGATATTCGAGGCTGACATGCTGGTCGTGTAAATATGATAGCTTAGTCGCACTCCTTGGCTGTGCTCTCTGGTGTATTAGCTGACTGTATCTGTACTAGGTGAACGTTTTACCAACGCCGACAGCGGGTGACCCTTAATTGCATACTAGATCTTCCAGTCACAAACTTAATGCTGTATTCATTCTGCATGTAAATTCGTATGGATATTACGACTTCCGGTGTCTGACCCCGATGTTGTGAGGCCGGCAGCACGAGCATCCAGCGCTAGTACCGCGCTAAGCCGGCGATGATCGAGAGCCTGCCACGATCCCAACCCCTAGTCACACTGTTACTCTCGCACCCGATCACACGATGGCGCCCAAAACAGAGCCGCGATCCAAAAAGGACCGTTCTCATCCATACCTGAGCAGCATCGTCGCGGGAGGCGCATACATAGCTTGATCGCGTTTTGCGCTTTTGCTCGCGCCCGATGACGTGTTCCGACACCGCATTCTCCAAGCGCAACCAGTGCGTCCCAATGCACGCTCTCGAGCGACATGCACGATACAGTCACTTCAATAGTTTGCGACTCCCCAGACCGCTCCCACCCTACATCATGTTGCATGTAGGTAAAAATTCAGAAACGTCGAGACCGTGGGCAAAACCCACCCGTACAATGGACCCGTTTGAGTATGACACAAGGCGTTATACCCGCATTTGGGTCTTATCATCTCCACCGCGACCCAGAGAAGTAATACGACGCATCCACCCCGCGCACTGGCACTAAAGTCACACCCACTATTCCCATCGGCGTGGCGCTACGTTTGGAGAATGACGTCAAGCTCCATGCGGGCACGTTCCTGGCGCGGCCCGTAGCGGTGGATGTTCCAATCAAAGGTGCGCTCAGCACCAATGGCGCCCTGCCAGCTGTCCAAGCCATCATCAAGCATGAGGCGATTCATAACAAAGTAGGGCTTGAGTGGGGAAGCAATCCGTTGCGGAGCTTATTCAAAGGGGTCTGTGGGTTGGAGAGCGTGGGACGTTTTGTATAGGTAACAGAGGACCCCTATGTGGTGGTGCCTAGAACGTGACTTCTTAGGCTTCAGCTCTTAGTTTTAAACTACTTTAGTTTCGCTACGCTCAGCTCCCCTTTCGACTGCGAGTCAGGTTTGTTTCTGTCTTATACATATCAGGGAAGTACGGTGCGGCAGGAAGCAGGAACCGGAACGACAACAAGTAAAAAACAGCAAAGTCTGATCATGAGCGTCGCTGTCATAGTAAGCACACCTCCTATTCGGCCCGTATATATGCAAGCAAGGCATGTTGTTCGATGAATGGGCGTACTGACGACCGACCCCAGAACCCTCCCGATGATCCGGCGAATGTCGTGCAGTCGCTTGTGAACACACTCTTGGATGTCTTTGATGCCACGAGGGATCTCTACGGGACGCTCACGGCTAAAGAGCAAAGAGACTATGAACAAAACCTGCGCAGCAAAGGATACCCTGCTTCAAGACGGATCGAGTATGTGAAGGATGACCGACTGGGTAGCGATGAGGCTATCGTGACGGACAAAGCTGTGGTCATGAGGCAGATGGATATCGGATGTGAAACTCTGGGGGCCGAGTTCGCCATGGGCGATGGTATGCATGCTATTCCTCTTCTGAACCCTATGAGACCCATCAGCTAACAAGTCACTACCAGTAACCGCGCATACAGCCCTCCAGTCACAGATCATTACCCTCCAAAGCGTGCTGGTCACCACATTCCTATACGGGCCCACATCAGGCGACACCATCGCCCATCAGCTAGCCAACATCAATGCGGCATCCAGAGTAGCAGCTGCGACGTCGGTCGAGATATTGGCTGCGTTGCAGGAACGTCAACAGGATGAGAGGCCGCTTACACCGAGGTCGATGCACTCTTTTACGGCACGTTCGAGCCCGTCGCATGCGCCATCACAAGCAATGACCCTCCATACATCGCATGCGCCTTCACATGTATCGTCACATCATACCTCGCGCCCGCCTTCGCATGCGCCATCCCACCATACTTCTCATGCGCCGTCACACGTGTCATCTCACCATACCTCCCATGCGCCATCGCATGTACCGTCACACGTGACATCCCGTACGCGATCTCGTGCGAAGTCTTTGACAGGATCCCAGGCACCGCCGTATGCGCCATCCCACATCATGTCCCAGGCACCTTCGCATGCGCCTTCGCACATGCAATCACATGCACCATCGCGCGCGTTGACACTGCCTCAGTCTGGTGCTAGTATGAGTTCAGCATCCACAGCTCTGATGAAGTATCCGGAACCACGATCCCGGAGTTCACACGTGCGAAGTAGCAGCCCTGTCAACACAACAGTGCTCGCATGGCGAGACAATGTCGAGCCAGAACAATCCGTCACCGACGCCACCTCCGTAACCGGAACTACCATGATCTCAAGTTCCAACAACCTATACTGCGTATACGCATACGACCTCCAACGGAACCCAACCCAACAACTTGCCACCAGCATAACATCAGACCGGGACCCCTACTGTCCACACTGCAGAGGCGAACTCCACCTCTCACCAGGAAAAGCATGGGAAATCTCCAAATGGGCCGACGACACAGAACGTACCTTCCAAGTTCAGAACCGCTTCGTCGTCAAGTGTCATCGTGATGGTCCCGACGGCCAATATTGCTGCGTAATTTGCTCCAAGTACGCGGACTCGGATACCATCTGCGGCGACGTCAAGGCTCTTATCAAGCATCTCTCGGATGATCACGATACCCGGCAGCTCAAGCATGAGGAGGATATTGTGGAGGTGATCGAGCAGCCGGGTAGTCGGAGGGACAGCGGCATTGGATATTCTACTTCGGTGAGAAGTAAGGGGAGTCGGAGGAGTGCTAGTCTCGCTGAGGGCGGACGGAGACGAAAGAGTCTGTCTGGGTATGACCGAGAGGCAGACTCATTTGATGGCAGGTTCTCGAGGAGGTAGTCGCATGTTTTGCGAGTCGGTGTTCTGGTAGATTGATGGGTAGTGCGGCATTGCTTGGGTCTTTCTTTGTTCTCTTTGTGGTTCGCTTGGGTTTGTACTACCACCATCACCTCTTTTAGTACGAAAAATACGTTCCTCATTTCTTATCATCATCCTTCCTCTTGCGATTAGCTTAGCATACGCATTACCATTTTGTACAATTGCCTCATCCCACAACCTTCGTCGCGAAGAACCAAGATACAACTATACAGTTCCAATTAGCCTACCACTCTTCAATATGTATCCCCTGTCCCCTCGCTCCCCATTACCCCATCCGTCACCCCGCCCCATCAGCCATCCATCCCTCGCGCACCAGTCAAACCCCCTCCCGCGTATATGCTCACGCAGTCCTTACCACAAACCCACCAGTCCATATTCCATGCATGAACACATGCAGCGCTACCCAAAACATACATGCCGACCACATCCAAAACGGACAATGCACGTTTCCCGCAATCAACGGTTTGTGCGAATACCTACTCGATGCGGTAACTTCAGGATGAGATACTGGTTGCAGTGGGACCGAGTCGACCCGAGTGTGAGGTTCTGCGCAGAAGCGGGCGCACGGCAGTATGCGCGCGCGTGTGTAATGTGTGGGTAATATCTTGATTGTGAGGTTTGGGGAGGATTTACCATTGTCTGTTTTGGGACTAGGGTGATTGGTGTTTTGGTGGGTGGCTGGGGTGGGAGCTAGGGGTAGATGGGGTCAGGTTGTACTGTGAGACTCATGCTAGGTACGCGATGTGCCTTGTACACATTCTGGTAATGCGCGACTTGGCCTTTGAGACGTTGGAGTAGATGGTAGAGGTATGGAGGTGGCCGATCGAATGGGTGACTAAGCAATGGTACCGAGATGGCCGATGCTCGGACTTGGAGATGCCCTGGTGCCGCCTGTCAACCATCCCCTCCATTGTCACCCCATCCTGGCTCTCGAACGTGTATGCGAAAAGCCAGAGTGCTTTGACACCGACTTCGGAGTATGAGATACTTGTACACGTTATTTCCGACTGCACACGCGTTATGTCCAACTAACTCCGCGACTAACACAGGCTGCAGGAACGACTGTTCGTATAACAACGCTCTGATTCTCCGTTGCTTGAGTTACACACTACACCCTCAATTGACTACTACTCACTAGAGCTTCAATACGATTACCACGATTACCTCAATTAGCAACGATGTCAGGACCATACCTTCACGGCCATCACGCATCCGTCCTCCGCTCCCACAGCTGGCGTACTGTCGAGAACTCATGTCCACACCTCCTCCCCTACCTCAACAACCCTTCATTCAAGATCCTCGACGTGGGCTGCGGCCCGGGAACTATCAGCGTCGACCTTGCTGCGCGCGTCCCACAAGGCTTCGTCTATGCCATCGATCCCTCCACCGAAGTCATCGAGAAGGCGCGAAAACACGCGGAGGAAAAGGGCATCACAAACATACGGTTCGAGGCTGGGGATATACATGAATGGAACAAGCTCGATGGTGCAGAAGAGGCTGGCTTCGATATTGTACATGCGCATCAAGTGCTGCAGCATCTACAAGACCCACTGGGTGCGATGAAGGAAATGAAGCGCTTGACCAAGCCAGGCGGCATCGTCGCAGTCCGAGAGTGCAACTACAGTGCCATGGACTGGTATCCAGAGCATCCAGGAATGCAAAAGTGGAAGGAACTATACATCAAGATTGCGTTTGGGCTCAAGGCACATCCGAACATGGGCAGGTACGTGCATGCGATAGCCTTGCAAGCCGGTTTCCCAAGAAGCGACATCGAGGCTAGCGTAGCCGCCTGGACATTCAGCACACCGGAAGAGCGACAGTGGTGGTGCGGACTCTGGGCCGATCGAACGGTGCAAAGCGACTACAAACAGCGGGCTCTGGACAGTGGATATGCGACGGAGCAGGATCTCGAAGAGATCGCAGCGACATGGAGGGAAATGGAGAAGAAGGAAGATGGCTGGTTCGCTGTTATCAACGGACAAGTCATCTGCCATGTTAGGTAGGATCTATAGGTAATAAACAGAAGCTTGTCTAGAGTTTCTTCTCGGCCTTTCCTCCCATCAAATGATGGTTACGGGACCCATGCCTCGCGGCCCTTGGTCTTTCTCAACCTACTCCACTTACTTGCTTCCTATCGGGCGGAGCCGTCTCCCTTGCCGCCCGTATGGCGAAACAGCTATCCCACGCGTCTCACTCACCTCCAATCGCGAGGTCCACCGCATTTACCGCGTGCCAGTCATCTGACGGCATGTGCACTAGCCGTCTCGGCTTGAAGTAGCTGCCTGGCCCTGCAGAAGCTCTGTATATCAACCCCACTTTACCCCTCCAACTTCTATCATCTATCAGCAATCTACTATTCCACAACATCGCAACACCACATTTCACCACAAACTTCAAGAAAGAGACAGCAAACAGTCAAAATGCAGTCTACAATCGAACTTGTCAACTTCCACAGCGACTGCCCAAAGTGCGGCTCTACTATTAGCGGCGATGCCAAGACCTGTGGATCTTGCGGCAGCGTAAGATGCTTGCGCAACAGTTCATCGTCGAAGCATAGCTAATTCGTCCTACAGTCTTGCCCCGTTTAAGTCATGAAGAATGTGTTTGCATGGGTTGGCGTAGGTGTGGGTATGAGTGAAGTGGATACCCGAAGGCTCGATGTGCACGGCGTTGATGCGGTTGCGGAGTAAGAGTATGGGAGTTTGAACGGCAGTGTGCACGTTTAGTGAGTGGCTGAATTGAAACATGGTATTACATTACATGGAATTCTCTTCGCTGCAAAACCACTTGAAGTACATGCGTTGATCCTCGTCTTTACACGCTCTTTCCTCTTCCTTACTCTTCCCTGAATAGGTCTCACCACCTCTCATCTAGCCCGCTCAGCTTCGCTTCAATGCGTCCTCTTGATACGCAAGTAAGTCAAAGCCAGTACTACGAATAGCACCACGACCGTCAAGAACATGAAGACCGAGTCTGCTTGACTTTGCTGGCACCGAGTGTTCAGCTTGCTAGACTTGCTGTCCCAGTTTGTATACCAACACGCGCCTCCTCCGTCGTTTTTTGTTGTGCATCCACCGTTCAAGATATCAATACCGCCGAGACCACCGTCAAATGGGTAATCGCCATTGCCATATCTATTGTGTGAACTCTCATCGGAACAATTCTTTCCCTGTAGTCGCATGGCTATAAGCTGTGTGTCTGGTTAGCGTGGAACAAGTACAGTGCTGTGACTAGATCAGGCATGATCTATACTCGAACCGGAAGGACTCACCACGCCGCCGACAAGATTAGCAAGTAGAATGACAATGTCGATGGCCACTTCGAAGTAGCCTCGTAGGAATTCTGTCCACGACAACAGGAAACCAATGAGTGAACCAGCAAGAGTAATACCACCGATGCCTGCCGCAAGGGGCAGAAGTTTCGGTACGTCGGACATCGAAGGTACGGCATGTTTGGGATTGTGGCCTTTGATGAGAGTTATTGATAGGCCTAGGACTATGATTCCGAAGAGAGCTTGGAGGCCTCGAAGAATGGATAAGGGTATCAGTGTCTTGGTGAACGCCATTGAGTAAGGTTATCAGAGATGGAGTAGAAGAAGGTTGATGCTGGAGGTGTTGGGTGAGTCTGAAAGAAGACTGAAGCGAGAGAGATGTGTATATGGTACTGTGAAGCGCCTGCACAGCCTTGCGGGTAGCTGCGACGTGTTCTGCGACGACAATGTCGTACAGTCACACCACTTCGGAGTACATCACAGAATCGTACCTTTTGGGTAGAGCTTTCCGTGCTATATTATCCTGTGCAACACTGATCCTCCACGAGACCTTCAAAGGGTTTTGGCAATTCAAGACAGATATGCCCTGTCTGGGATAGCTACCATGGGGATTGCGTTGTGTGAATCTACAGGCTCGTATAAACCTCGTACCCTTTCAACAGTCCATCCACCCACTCTCCATCCCTTCTCTGTCCTTACATATACCAGGACCCAAATGACAATGATTACTGGTACGTTCGATAGGGTAAAGGCAATATTGCACTGATAGAGAACGCAGCGCCTCCTCATACCACTGTCGTCCTGAAGGGAATCGAAGAAGCACTGGAAGTATTCAGGGTACTCCATGCCCCACCGTGGGCAGACGACCAAGTTCTCGTACGCACCAAGATCACTGCACGAATAGCCTTTCACTTCAGAAGCCATCATCTGACCACGTGAATTAGTGAGATGACGTCGCAGCATGGCTGTACGACCGAGTTGTAAACTTACAGAGCCTACAGCCATATTCAGCGACAGAATACCGCCATCAATGGTGTTTATAATCCAGGGATGCAGGTAGTTACGGAGAATGGCGGTTGAGAGTCCAGCAACCAACGTCGATAAGCCCACTCCAGCTGAAGACCCTAAGATAGGTGGAAGTGGGCCCGTCCCATGGCTAGCGATGAAGAATATAGTGATAACGGACACAGTAGCGCTGAAGAGAACTTGGATACTGCGCGCAATCAAGACAGGAAATGACGGGGACACGCGCATCGTGGCTGGTCAGCTGCCTGTGACTTAAGATGACAAATGTGTGGATTATCAAAGAAGAATAAATTGAATCGTGCTTCGTTCTGTTACTATATCAAACCATAGGGACCGTTGCTCACACGTTGGGGAAGATCAAATCCTTCGAGGCTCTTCCGAATGGTGTTACCTTTCACCCGCCTCGGCGTCAGCAAAGCTTGACAGCACAGTTGCACAAAAGCGGGTAATAAGTACGTGCAACTTCGTCTTTCATTACTTCGTGTTCATAAACGGTGTGTGTCGCACATAGGCCACGACTAAACTGCGTCGACTACCATAAGGATTGTACCTTGCTTAGTGAGAAACTACGGAGAGCGTCGAAACGCTTGTTCATGTGACAAAATGCACAGATGATGAAATTGCTTGAAGTGGGGTATCGTGATGCGAGAAAGAGACCGTCGTGAAATCCTCCAGAGACATGCGCAACACTACGTCAAGTGTGGATAAGTTGGATCACTGCTACAATAGTTTGTGGTCGCTGTTAAAATTAGCGGGATGAAAATGAATGGTTTGATTCAGAAATACTCACCATCGCGCTTCTCCGAATCTAGTAGCCTTTCTTCATGCGCAAGAAAGCGAGCAAGGCAGTCACGGCGAGGACAATGACGGTGAGGAACATGAAGACGCAGTCGGCTTGCGTAGACTTGCACCTCGATTTCATGGTGTTGGGGTCGTTTTCCGCGTAATAGTACCAGCACTCGTCTTCGGCTCTGCAGCCGCCATTGAAGATGTCGTTGAGAATGAGCTTGGTCGCGTTCTTTATAGTTGTGTCGCCATCGCAATCCACACCAGAGATCTTGAGAGCGAGAACCTTGATCTTTGTCAGCTGAAATGCCCGATTGCAAAATTCTGAGAGGTCCTGCAGAACTCGGGCTAGCACTTACGATGCCACCTGCCGCGTTGATGACAGCAACAGCGCCGTCGACTATCAATCCAATCATACCATCCAAGAAGCTGAAGAACAGTCCTGCGACTCCAATCGCTGCTCCTAGAATCGTGACGCCACCGACAAAGGCTGAGAAGCCCAGACTAGCGGGGAGACCACCCCAGTGGTGGCCGCGAATGAGTGAGACGGATATTCCGAGTACGACAATACCGAAAAGAGCCTGGAAGCCGCGGACGACAAAGTTGAGGAGTGGGTTTGCGATCGCCATGGTGTTGATTCGTATGTGTAGAGAGCCGTGTGCGGATGGTGATGAATGATGGGTAGCTGCGACAGCAGTGGTGGTATCGGTTTCGTTGTAAGAGGAAAGGTTTTCCCGGCGCGTATTGATTGAGTGAGAGGTGAAGGGGAGAAAGGGAAGTCGCGACGGGTACCACCTCACTATTTACGTGTTTGTGCTCGTTTGCACACCCACGTCATTTGCTATTGGCCTTGCCCTCGTCTGTGCCACCTTCACATGGCAAGAGCAGTTTCAAGTCGTCGCGCGGCGTCCAAGGCAGACACATTGGCGGCGCAGCCCTATGGCTGACAGGCTCGTACCAAATGTATGGGTACGTTTGGGGGTCAGCCCTGCTGTGGTAAAGGGATCTACGGATACGGGTGGTTGCCTGGGGTTGAATCGGAGAGTTTGCTGCATTCGGCCTGACTGATGTTGACGGGGTTAGCCCGATATCGTGTATACCTCGCCGATACAATTCAAGGTTTTTACTGTGACTCACAGTCACAGTCGTGATTGAAGCGATGTGTCGTTGCCCTACCTAGGTACCTACTTGCACCCGCCTATAGCGACATCAAAGCGTGAAGCCTGTCAAGCTGGGGACCATACAAGCTCTACCCCAATCATATCTCGCGCCACCAGCCATAAGCTCACTATTGGGGAGCATTGCAATGTGTCGATGTCGGCGAATGCCAAAGGCTGTGGTTGTCAATGCATCAGGCGCCCAGAGATTGGGGGCCGTATTCCGAAGTTTTCACCGGTCAGTCCATTTGTAGTCTGTCTCAGAGAACATCGCGCAAGGCGAAAGCTCACACGAGGCTAGGTGCATACATACATTCTCATTACCCGGACCTATAGACTCGGTGGTGCAGTGTCAGAGATATGCATGCGAGTGTGCTCGTCACAATGCCCTTTGTGGCTGTGCTCGGCTCGACCAATGAGAACGCGTCGCAAACTGGGAGTCTATTTTGGCCTCCAGCCTCCCGCTTCGCTGACCGTCATCTGCATCTCGAATTGTATCAACTCGCACCACTCATCTGCAGGTTTACATGACAGTCGTCTCGATCTAATGCTGGCATGAAAACCTGACCACGGCCTCGTCTACTCCCAGCGAAGACGGAGACAAGCTGGCTAGCAAAAGGGCAGACGTCGCATCAACTGCAGTAAGCTTATCGCCATCTCCTCTCAAATACATTCTGACATGCTATATCTAACCTGCATCTACGGTGTGAGAATAGCTGCTGCAGCCAAGATCGCCTTTGCCGTCCTCCCGACAAACTCCCCTGCCAGAGTAAGATTGCCCGCAGCAACAGCCTCTGTCACTCCAGGATATGTAACAGGCGCATAACCAGTATCGACCCCAGGAGCAAAGACAAGATGTCTATAGAACTCTCTGCCCGGAAGCCCACCCTGGCTGACGAAGCCGCGCCCAACATCGCGCGCCTTGTGGTTGACCTGTCTGATGAGAAGCGAACTGTTTGAACTCACGGCCATGTCTCGAGCAGCATTGAACTGCTGTGCCGAATCCTCAAATGTCGCAACTGCATTCTCAAGCTCTCCAATCACTACTGCGGTTGTCGCATTTGCAGCCTCAATGACGCCCTTCAAGTCCTCGAGCCACGCTCGCATTTCCACTCCGTAATTTGCCGGTTCAAGCGGTACAACTTCTTCGTCGACCAATCGATACAACATCAATGTCAAGAACTGACCGATTGCCTTGTGCATCACGAACCCCGGATCCGCAAATTTAGTCATCCAGTGGTAGGAATCGAAGTTCGAATGCGTATGATAAATCGGGTCGAGTGGCGCTCTTGTCGTGCCCATATCAATAGCGGAGATGCCCACGCCATGAAAGAAAGCCGTGTAGTCACTCCGTGCACCTAGAGTATCGATCTCGCCGGTCATTTCTTCCCATTCGTCATATAGGGTGCGATTTGAGCCATGCGGCCAGATGACCTTTCGCGCTATGGACGTGGTGAGGGCGTGGAGATCTGGGGTGGCACCGAAATCTGGGATGGTGCCTGCTATGCCAACATCGATGTTCAGGTAGGATACTGCGGAGGATCTCAGCCATGGTAGGTATTCTTCGACCCATTCGGTGCTGTGAATTCTGTTAGCTGGAGTGCTCATCTTCGTTCCGACTTGATGGCTCACCTTCCGACTAGACCGTATTCCTCAGCATCCCAGCTGCATAGCACGATGGTTCGCTTTGGCTTCCATCCCGTCTTCACCAGAGCACCGATTGCTTTAGCCAACTCAATGAGAATCGCAGAGCCCGAATGCGGATCCGCTGTGCACGTTAGTCTTGTCCAAAGTCCCGGCTTGCGTTCCTGACTTGCCTGCTCCACCGATCATCCAAGAATCATGATGATTCCCCACGATAACAACCTCATCCTCGTTCGTACCGTTGATAATGCCAATCGCGTTGTGGATCCAATTGATCTCGCCCCTCATTATATTGCTCATCGATAGCACAGCTTCTGACGGCCCGGAACTGTACTCAACCCCATCGATTCCACCCACCCAATTCGGACGATCCGTAGTCTTCGCATCAACACCATGACCATTCAGCGCGACCAACAATGGTTTCGCTTCAATCCACGAAATCGGCAAACTCGGGATTGCAGGCACAGTCTTCTTTTCCTTCCTCTCTACGCCCTCTTTAGATGGGTATCCAGGTGTTGTCGGATCTCCGGGATACGTGCTCAAATCCATGACACTACCTTTTTGAATGCTCGTTGGATTTCTTGCCGGTCCTTCCGGATACGTGGCGTAGTTCTTGGCTGTCATGTTTCTGTCGTCCCCGGGGTCTGTGAAGATTACAGCACCGATCATACCAAAGGCTTGTGCGTTCTTCACTTTGAGGCCGCGGAAGGGGCCGCCGTATTTCGCGAGGGCGATTTTGCCTTGAAGCGTGATGTTTAGGACAAGAAGACGTTTGAAGTCTTCTTGAGAAGCTCGACCTACTGGGTTTAGCATCGAAAATGTTTCAATGCGAGTAACACGTACCGACGTAGACGTACTCAGCGGATACGTTACCTGAGCCGGAATACCCATGAAACGCAGGAACTCTGTTCGCATCGCCTGTGGGCTCATCTTCATCAAGTACTTCTTCCTCGAGTGTTGCGTGGTATGTGCTACCGTTGCCATAGTCAAGTGACAAAGCACGATGGACTGGGTAGTCAAGGTAAACGTCTTCCTCTCTAGTTAGCCTTCTTATTCAAGTAGATGCGACGAATAACATACGATAGCTGTCTAGTCTTGTTTTGAAGTCATGTTCAGCCCATCGCGCAACAGTCCATCGTGGAACCGTCTCACTCTCCCCTGCGAGGTTCCGCTTATGCGCTGCGACGGTCAGCAAGCTTCTTTCTTGATCTTGAAGGAAAGGGACATGTAATCACAGTAGTAACTAGACCATGACGCTATAGACGTGTTGTCGAAGGACGATACCAAAATCTCTTCGTTTGGCGTCAACATTGGAGGGAATAAGGGGGATGTATCACGCCGTTGTAGGTGGCGATCATGACGTCGGTAGTGATGATCTTTGTCGCACGCAATGACACTTCTAGAGTAAAGCAAAGCCAAAATGAACAGCATCGTGGTTAATCCCATGAATCATTCGAATGTGATCATATCGAAGGGTTACCCAGGTCGAGGAATGTACATATAGTGCCAAGTGGCGGCAAATGTACCGGTTTAGCCAACATCCAGGTTAGTTCTTGTTCGATCCCGGTCGATGCACTCTACGTCCTCATTCTATTTTGTGGGGTATTGAGGACATGTTCATCTTTATGGCAGTAGCGCTCATTGGCAAACAAAGTATGATGTAACGCTACACATGATCCTCTTGTCAAATGTGCAGTATCATACGTCAGTGGTCTGAGGTTGGTGGAAAACAAGGGTAGGAGGTTCATGAGTATTCTTACGCAGAACGTGTTGCTAGCTATGTACAATTTATTTGAAGCTATAGAGAAGACCCTTCAACAAGACATCCCATCGCCCAGAGGTTCTACTAAGCGCTGACTTCGACAGCACTCACTTCAACACCAGAGTTCTTCGCCGCATCAACAGCGACAGGCTTCGTCTGAGGAAGACCGTAAACATCAGTCTCATCTTCCTGCATGCCACCCAAGAGCAAAGAGCTCGGAGCAGCCGCCTGATCCGCAGGCGATGCAAGGAAAGCCAGGAACTTTTCGTCGTGCCACTGGCGCGAGGTGACATATCGACCCTCGCTGTCCTGGAACATAGTTTCGTCCTCAGCGCGAAGGAAGTATGCAACCGAGTAGCGATGCTCGGTGTAGTCGTACGGCACAACACGGTGGATGCACGACTGGAAGGTGTGGCCGCTGGCGAAGCGAAGAGAGTCGCCGACGTTGATGATGGCTTGGCCCTTCTTGGGCTCCACGAAGCCAAACTCCTTGCTGCCCGGTGGACGGATCTGGAGGCCCCACTGCTCGGTGAAGAGCACTGTCAATGAGCTGATGTCGGTGTGCTTCTGGTGGCCGACGTTGCCGTCCTTGACTGGGTGCGAAGGGATGTAGTGCATCATGGACAACGTGCTCGTTGAAGGGCGGTGGTTGCGGTGCAGGTTCTCGAAACGCGCACCACCCGTCAGGCCGAAGGCAGTTGACAGAGCTGCCAGAATGGCCTTGCCCATGATGTTGTTGCCCGAGATGGCGTTCTCGATGACCTTGAGATCGGAGCTGTTCTTGATGTTGCGAGGAATGTGGGGCGACTCGCGTTGGATCTCATCGCGAGAGATCTTGACCATCTCATAGCCGTCTCGCTTGCCTTCCAGCGAACCGTTGCGAGAACCAACAGGTTCGTATCTAGAAAAGTTCAGTACTTGCATGAAAATTGAGGTATTCTGGGCTTCGTAACTCACCCAAGGTGAGGAGCGATCAGTCCATACTCGTTCTTGATCTCAATAGGAGACTCGAAGAAGCGGTGCATGACCTTCAACAACTCCTGGTGGTCATCGATGAATCGACGTCCATCGACATTGTTCAGGTCCAGGTAAAAGAACCCCTCTTTCTTGCAGCACTCAAGAAGCTTCTCGAGCTCAGCGGGCTCTTGCGAGAGGATCGCGGAGAAGTCGATAGTCTCCATAGGGTAGACTGGGACCTGCTTTCCGTTCCACTCGACCCTTCGGGGTACTTCGGTTACCGGAGCCATGTTGATGATTGATGTGATCGTGGTTGTCGTGAAGATGGCGTGCTCTCTGATTGTGTTGGGGCTGTGTTATACCGTGCTGTGTATTCATCAACGTTGTTTTCATGCTTTATAGCAACCTCTTGCCCGTTCATCAGACACAAATCGGGATACACTCCCTGTTGACATGTTAATTGACCTTCATCTCGATGATACATGATCTGTTGCCTTCCAAGATCTAGAGATGATCATAGATTGGGTTGGGTTTCTCTCAGTCCCGGATTTCAAGTGTATTGTTTCGTACCCCGCATCTTGTGCGATGAGGACCGCTGCGAGGTCGGCATATGGAACCAGTTGGAGTGCTACAGCAAGGGGAGCCTGTTGTGCTGCGGCTGAACACCTGATCGGCTTGTCGATACATAGGATTACTGAGACCTCCGCATACACGTGTCGCTTCAGTAAGTGTAGAGTATACACGTGGGGTCGCTGCACCCTGCACATCTGCCATCTATCCTTTGTATGGATAAACCCTAATATCAGAACACTTGACTAGATCCCTAGGGATGGCGTAGTGGGATCCTTTGCCTCTGTGAGACCACCAGTAAGGTCATGGGTTGTAATCTTGATGCGGTCACAGGTTGTATCGAACATATTGTCGGCAGCTGGGCAGCAACTGCCGTAGATGAAGCTGTAACTGGTGGGGCTTCCGCGGGGGTAAACACGCTGAACTCGAAGCTGGCGACATGCCTCGAATGACCTGAATTGATCTGTGCGTGCAGTTTAAGTGGTCGGTACAGTATGTGGTGGCCCCTGGATGGAGTCGCGAATGAGCTTTTTAGCTGCGGCGACGCGTCGTGGCTTCGTGATGAGAGAGCTGGGAAGTCAGGATCGGTTGTATTTCTCCGCCACGTGCACGTCACGCGCCCGGGCGGCTCTGCATGTCTCCAATCGCCAACATTAACATCGACGAGCCAGAACGGCCACAAGACTCATGACGGAAGATGATGTATGGTATTGATACAGATAAGTAAATGTAGCGCTAAAGCAGTTTACAGCTTCATACCCAGCACCTTGTGCACTCGCAGCGCCTGCCTGATACTCAGGTCAAGCATGATCTCTTCCGATCCACCAGGGATAGCGTAAGCCCTGACATCCCTGTATAGCCTCTCGACCTTCGCGCCTTGTCCACCACGACTGTAACTCAGGCCGCCGAAGATCTGACTTGCCTCCCTAGCACAGAACTCGAAGGTTGTGGTACTTTGCGCCTTCAAACTGGCAATAGCGCCACCAAGCTTCAGCATAGCCTCCATCTCGTCCATCTTCTGGCACTGGAAGATGAGATTCTCCATCCAGTTGTAACTTGCCTCGATCTGGCGTGCCATGTGCGCGAGCTTGAGGCGAATGACGGGGTGGTCGATGAGACGCTTGCCGAAAGTTCTGCGCTTGTGTGCGTACTTGACGCTCTCCTCGTAGCAGACACGGGCGAAGCGCAGACACTGGATGATGATGCCGATGCGCTCGTGGTTGAAGTTTGTCATGACGACCTTGAAGCCCTGGTTCTCTTTGCCAATGAGGTTCTCGACGGGGACCTTGACGTCCTCGAAGGTAACGTAGGTAGTGCCGCTGCTCCATACACCTTGGCAGTCCATCTTGCGAGTGGAGACGCCACCAGCGCTCCGCTCGATTAGGAGCACTGACACACCGTTCATGCCCTCTCCGCCAGTGCGGACAGCGGTTGTGAAGTAGTCGGACCAGATACCGTTGGTAATCCACTTCTTCTCGCCGTTTACGATGTAGTGTTTGCCGTCTTCGGAGAGCTTGGCTTCGCAGGTCAGGTTCGCGACGTCGCTACCGGCATCTGTTGCAGTCAGTAATTGGTCGAAACATATTGCGGGCAGAATGAGGTAATTTACCTGGCTCGGTGATGGCGAGACAGATTCTCTTCTTTCCGCTCAATAGGTCTGGTCCAATGCGCTGGACGAGCTCCTTCTTGCCGAACTTGAACAGAGGAGGTCCGCCAATTCCGTATCCTCCGATCAGGCCCCAGACGAGACCACCACTGCCTGTCCTTGACAGCTCATCGGTGATGATCATCTCGTGGAAGTGATCCCACTTCTCTGTCGGCACACATTGGACCCGCTTGTCTGTGTATTCGGTAGGGAAGTGCATGCCGAGCATACCGGCGAGGTATCCGCGCTCGCCCATTTCCTGGAAGATCTCGTCAGGCACCTTCTTCGCTTCGTCCCATTCGGTTACGTTGGGCATGAGTTTCTCCTCGACCCATTGTCGGACTTCATCGCGGAGGGCTACGTGGGTATCGTTGTAGTAGGGAGAGTGGTACTAGATCTGGTGTTAGCGATGCCAATGCGTGATATGTAGGCTGACATACTGTTTGGTACCACGATGGGTCTGCGTATGGGATGAGGTCGCCGTAGGCATCGAAAGGCTCCGACTCCTCAGCGGCAGCCTCGGTTGGCTGTGGCGCAATAACACCAGAGTTGGCCTCTGGCTTGACCACATCCTTCTTCGGCGCCTTCTTCTGCTCAGGCGCAGCAGTAGCTGGAGGAGCTGGAGGCGCGGCTTTGCTGTCTAGCGATCCGACTTGTAGCTGCTTCTGGTACTTCTTGAGGATGCTGTCATTGTGGTACTTCCAGAACTGCTTCGAGGCGTCCTTTCCGGCGACGCGTTGGAGGACTTGCGACTGTCAGCTTCGCGAATCATGTTTGTGCATCGAGGTTGCACATACTCTTCTTGCCTCCTGGGTGCTCCTCCTGGAAGTTAGTGAGATCGTAGACATCCTCATCTACGATGATCCACAAGTCGCTCGCTGTCTTGTGCGACGCGACATCAGCGGTTGAGAAGCGTTTCGACATGTTGCTAAGTATCAACACGTAAGAGGGGTAGGTGTGAGTAAGGAGAGCAGAGTGATGAGGTGTCGCTAATCACAGGACAACCCTTACTGACTTATAAGAGGCTTAGCAAGTTTCGGGACATCTTCACATGCCAGGAACTACTCCACGCCAAGGCAATCCGGGGAACCCGCCAGCTGCTGAAAGTCGACCGCACATAGCGCGTTCTGGAGTGCAGCAAGCCGCTGTCTGATGATCTCGTGCGTTGGAATGCGAGCGCTGCAATTGGTTGTTGCCGTCACAGACCGGGTGACTTGCTGTTTGAAGCTTCACGTCATACGCGCAAATGCCGAGGTATGCCGGATTGGGACGCTCACGTGTCGCCATGTCAGTCTTCACATGCCGAACAGAAGAGGCTGACATTCAGATGCTCAGCGAGCCGTCAAAAGGATTACTCTGACACCTAGTCAAACGCAGGGGTTGCCCCAGGTCCTCGAGCGAGGGGTCCCGACGAAGCTATGGCGCGTCCTTCCAACGCGTTTCGTGGGGTCTCCGCATCACGACCGCGTCATTCTCCGTCGCCTTCAAGAACTCGATGCGCATTCAAGTTCAGCCATGGAGACAACTTCTCGCCTCCTATTCATAACTCAACGCATGCATAATACAGGATGTCTCGACAAGTCCAGGTAAAGAAGGGGTCTGAGATCCAAGCCCCAGATGGCCCCCAAACTGATGGCATGATTCGCATGCCCGCAATCGTAGACATGTCGGACCAGATCTGTGGAACTGGTAGGGCTGATATTGTCACTAACACTTCCATTACTGACGATGACAGTAATGATCGCAAAACCTCATACCGCTTCTGCGATCCACCACCACGGCGATGAGGGTACGTCCTGTATTGCACCCGTGTTCTCCTTCCTACGCGCTCGAGCGATTTTGTAATATTGTGCGAGTGGTACCTGAGATCTTGGCAGATACCATCGTGTACGCCGCGAAGGGTCATGGCGCCCTAGTCAGCGGAACGAACGGCAGCAAAAGACAAGAGCTAGCACCAGGGGATTTTGCACTCATACCAGCGTATGCAGAGCACCAAGAGGTCAACGACAGCGATGAGGATGTTGTTTGGATCATCACACGGGGTGGCAGAAACCCTGTTGTTGAGAACCTCGAGGCTTGGTCGAAAGACTGAGATGTTTGCCAGCGCAGCCCTGTCAAGAACCCCTCTTCGGGCACGAACACACAGATCCGTTACCGTTGCGGGACCGAAGTATATGTCCTGATGCATCCTGTCATCCCGTGTGTTGATTAGTCGCATTCGGCCCATCTACGTCGAATGATAGCGGTGAAACTGACCATCTGCCACTCGATATCACAGCAGAACGGGAACTTTGCATTATCTACAAGGCTTTCAAGCGTACAACTACGTCAGACATGCCTGCTTGTCTAAGCGGTGCTGCAGGTGTCGATAACACACTGGCGACTTCTCGCTCACATGTTGGGATCATGAGCTCTCATTGGTCAGCAGGCCGTCTCGTTACAACACCCCAATATTTAGGGTACAGCCTACATTGCCCGTAGATGGCAAGATGCATGCCTTATATTCGAGTTTTAGCCGCCCTCAGTCCTGTTCTTCCACTACTCTCATCGTCTCAGCCCCCTATATTGCTTGACCCGTCCGGACCGACCGGCATACACGGCACCCACGGCACGTGTTAGCCACAGTTAAGCCACACCAAAGACTGCGCCATACTTCCACGCAAAGGCAGTCATCATTCATTGGAATTCAGACTCCCTGAGATACGCATCGTTGGGTACTAATTTGGCGGTACCGAGAACGTTGGTATGGTGGTGACCCATACTTAGCAACACACCGAGCGCCACACTCCCGCGTACTGTTTACTTTTACCTTTGGAGCACCATTTTCACCTTGTGTTCTGGCATATTCTACTTTGCGACTGCAGAGATGTCGTCTCCTACGAGATCGTCTTTCTTCACGGGCATTTGTACTTTTTCCATACTAATCTCGACCGGATCTGTGCAGGCACAACTGGATTACAGTAAACATGTCAATGTCTTGTAAGTTGCAGGTTCCATGCCATCTGTACTTCACTCACAGCTATCAGTCAAGGAACCCAGGGCGGAGGAAATCGATTTCCTGGGGTCGTGGCCGCACCATTCGCCATGGTCAAGCTTGGACCAGACGTTCAGTTTATGGATACCGACGCGTACTCCGGCTACCTCCCCGAGGGCAACATTTTCGGCTTCAGTATGATGCACGAGTCTGGGACAGGAGGGGCGCCAAAGTACGGCGTCGTAAGTCAGATGCCAGTAGTCGGCGAGGTGCCGGATCCCCTTGCAGATTTGTCCCAACCACGAGCATTGCCAGATCAAGGGAGTCTTGGCTACTACAAGAGTTCGCTGGCAAATGGGATCACAGTAGAACTAGGTGCGACCGAACATGCCGGGCTTTACACCTACTCTTTTCCAAACGGCACAGCGTCATCTATTGTAGTCGATGTCTCGCACGTACTTCCCAGTTTCAGAGGCCTGGGGTGGGAACAACACTACTCGGGTGGTAGCTTCAGTATCGAAGAAGATGGGCACTATGAAGGATCTGGTATCTATAACAACGGCTGGAATCTATCACCGGATTGGACGATCTATTTCTGTGGCAAGTTCAACAAGCAACCCTTACGAGCAAGGACTTTCAGAGGGAAGTCCAATGCATCAGACGCTTCGGTATCAGGAAGTGCCCGTCTTGGCGGTGTCTTCACATTCACCGAACCAGAAATAACATCCCGTGTCGGCATCTCCTTTCTCTCTACCTCTCAAGCTTGTTCAAGCCTAGAAGAAGTCTCCTCAGACACCTCCCTCACCACCCTCGTCTCCGCCGCAAAGAACAGATGGAACACCGAAATCCTCAGCAAGATCCAAACCTCCTCCTTCGACACCTCCGACCTATCCCTCATCTACAGCAGCCTCTACGGCGCCTTCCTCATCCCCTCGAACCGAACCGGCGAGAACCCATCTTGGAACTCCACCGAACCCTACTACGACGACATCTTCACCTTCTGGGACACACACCGCTGCCACACCTCACTCTTCCACATCCTCCAACCCACCGCCTACGAAGAGTTCCTCCGCTCTCTAATCGACATCTGTCGCCACGACGGCTTCCTACCCGACGCCCGGTCTTCAAACTACAACGGCCGCGTACAAGGCGGTTCAAACGCCGACAACGTGCTCGCAGACGCGTACATTAAAGGCGTCCGGGGCGCGATAAACTGGGACGATGGCTTCGGCGCTATGCGTACAGACGCTGAAGTCGTCCCACCCAACAACTTCGACCCTCAAGCCCCTGATTCCTCGACTAAAGAGGGTCGCGGCGCACTCCCAGATTGGCTCGAGTACGGATATATAACACCGCGTTTCACTCGCGCCGTATCGCGTGCCGTGGAATACTCAACCAACGACTACGCAGTCCACGTCGTCGCTGCAGGCCTGGATAAAACGTCCGAGGCAGAAACCTATCTAAACCGGTCCCGCAACTGGCGTAACCAATGGAACCCCAATGCTTCTTCCTACAACCACACCGGTTTCCTCGTCCCGCGCCTCGCAAACGGCGATTTCGTACGACAAGACCCCGCCGACTGTGGCGGCTGCTACTGGCCCGACGCGTACTATGAAGACAATAGTTGGATCTACAGTATGAATGCTATCCACGATGTCGCCGAGTTGATCAAGAAAGTAGGCGGCAACGAACGGTTTGTAGATCGTTTGAACAAGATCTTCGAATTGGGCTTCTTTGACGCCGGGAACGAACCTAGTTTCACCACGCCGTATCTCTATAACTTCGTCAAGGGGGAGCAGTGGAGGAGTGTTGAGCGTAGTAGGGGTGTTTCGAATCTGTATAATGCGGGGGTCATGGGGTTGCCTGGGAATTCGGATGCCGGGGCCATGGAGGCAAATTTGCTGGTAAGCCATCTTTTCAGTCTTATTTTGATGATTTCTGGAAACGATGGCTAACAGTGCGTGTAGTGGCAGATGATCGGTCTCTATCCGGTGACGGGTCAGACTACTTTTCTCATTCTCTCCCCATGGTTCTCAGAGCTTACGCTTGATCTTGGGAACGGGAAGAAACTTACTGTTACTACTGCTTTCAGTGATGGCGGCGATCGGAATACCGCGCCATATGTGCAGAGTCTGAAGGTCAATGGCGAGACTTGGGACAAGGCATGGGTGGCTTGGGAAGATGTCTTTGAGAACGGAGGTACCATGGAGTATGTGATGGGAAATAGTCCCAGTCACTGGGCGACAGGAGATCTACCACCTAGTCCAGCTTCGGAATAGAACAATGATTTCAGTCATGTTTACGTCAGCAGCATGTGTGTAATTGCTGGTTTCACTGACAAAGAAGCTTGATGTTGTAGTGTTGAGAATAATATTACTCAAAAGACGGTGGTGGGCCATCAGTATGCTATCAACACCCGTCACTGTCGCAACCAGAGCATACAGAGAAAATATACATTTCGATCCAAGCAGTCGTAATCTGGTAGTCCATAAGTCTGCAATGCAGCATGCCACGGTACGCCGACGCCTGTCAATGCGCAAACAAATAAAGTGAAGTAAAGTAAAGAGATGAGAATATCGAAAAAGCTGCGTGGTGTCTTTGAAAAGAAGCAAGTAGCGTTGTGGCGTGGGACTGGTCGATAAGATCTAGGTGACCAAGACGGATTTCCAAACGACAGCCGGACACAAATGTTGCTACGGCGGCGGTGGCGTCTCCTCAGGATGCACGTAATCGAGATGATGTCCAGTGGAGAAATAACCAACGTGATCGGACATGATCCGAGGAAGAGTTGATTCCCACAAGGCCCGCTGTTCTTCGAGTTTCTCTTTTCGTCTCTCTGCATCCGCGGTCCCCGCGTCAGTCTGTAGTCTACGTTGCGAAAGCAGTGGTGCGCTACGGCTCGTAGGTAGCGTTGGGGAGTGGCTCCACTCGTTTGCCCACGTATTCGCTCTTTTGTGCCCATGTTTCCGTGGGATTGTTGTGGCAGCACCATCGTCTTGGCTGCCCAGCTGTTCTAGTCCAGGCCTCCTCCGTACGCGTCGCAGTCTCTGGGATAGACCTCGTCTCATCGATTCGCCCGTTGTCTCCACAGCATCCGAGGGCTCCTGGACATCTTCCTCGTATTGTATCGTTGCCGTCTTCGCGATGATCGGAGATCCAGGGGAGGGAATGTCTTGGACATCCTACACCAAAGTACAAGGTTAGTAACTTTGAGGTGCGTAGTGTGCGGGCTACAAGCCAAAGTTAGTCCTGCTATGAATGCAATAGATAGCCCTGAATTAAACAAGAATTCAGTAAGCTCAGTTGCGATACGTACTGGTGAGTTAAGCATGCTTTGACGCTTGTTCCTGCTCTTCTTGATGTGGCTCTTGAGCGCGCTCGAATCGAGTGGTTTGAGAAGTTCGAAACTGCAAAGCAGTTCTCCCGAAACCGACATAACGGCGCCCCAGTTGTCGAATTCGCCGCAGTACTGGGTAGTGTTAGCATGAGTGTGACTATGGGGTATATGACATTGCTTACGTTTGGAGCTGAAAACACAGTAACCAACACTCGATCAGTGAAGAACTCGTAGCCATCCTCCACCACCATGTGTGCTCTGCAAACAAGGTCGAAGTCATGCCTTGCGAGGAACTCCATGATGACCTTCTTTCCAAAACAATAACTAACGCCTCTTTCGTTAGACTCCCAGTCGTTCTCCATATCCGCAGGATCGCTCCACAAGAGGTCGTTCAGCAAGCCATAGTCGGGTACATCGGTAGGTCGCGCGATTTGCCTAATATCATCCATATGCGACAAGCTTGGAGACAGCCCACCGTGAACACAGAAAATCTTCTGCGCAACAATAGCTGCAATCGGGAGTGTGTTGAATGTATCCACGAAAGCCTTCCAGACTTTGATATTGCATCTCCTCTTGCATTCATCGTAGAAGCCGTATACACGTGTAACGTTGGCGCATTCGTGGTTGCCGCGGAGGAGGAAGAAGTTCTCGGGGAACTTGAGCTTGTAGCAGAGCAAGAGTAGGATAGTTTCCAGGCTCTGTTTGCCGCGGTCTACGTAGTCGCCGAGGAATAGGTAGTTGGAATTGGGAGGAAATCCGCACATCTCGAACATGCGGATCA